ATGTTCATAAGCTCAATGCTGAACACAATCAAATGGCAAAAATAATGCAATGACTGAAGGGATATACCCATAATAACAAATTAGATGAATAAAATATGTAGACACTAATAAGTAAAACTTCCTACCTAGGAAGTTGTTAATAAATTTAGTTACAAAATATACACTGAATCCTGACATTGATTCTGCTCCTCAGTGTTTCATGCTGAATCAGGCAACCTGAAGATTGCAAGTCAACTATAAAGTAATGCCACTTCTCTCTTACCCACATATAAACACGAACCATTTGAGTCAGAAAAGAATTACCCACACAATTCTTGACTGAAATAAAATTATTTTCAGATATAGGGCAGAACGAACTCTGATCATCTTCTGACAACGATGTTCTAATACTCTGGGAAGAAGGAAACAGGTCTCCAAAGCAAAGAGGAGAGGGATCTCAAGATCAGAATAGGTTTCTTGTACGTAATCTGACTCTAGGTGATAATGTTATCAACAAATTACTCAACACAAGAGGTTTGAGACAAGAGCATGTGAAGGCATGGTAGTTGCAGTTGCTTGTCATCAGGGTTACTTTCTCCAACTTATGAAACATCTATAGATGCTCTTGTGAGCAATTGGAATATATTATTCCAGTAATTCAACAACTGCTCTCTGCCAATTTCCAGGGCTGGTATGGGCAGGATATTACAAGGCAAAGATGAAGAAGCATTACTTTCCTAATGACTTACTGATGTGTCAGTATCTTATTCTTCCTCTTTGTGGCCCTTTGCCTGGCTGATTCAGTCATCAACCTGTTTGTTCGCTTACACCACCAAGGAATGTAAATTCTTGTGAGACATCTCACAATACCATCTATTATTCATTGGTAGTGAAGTGAACAACCAGTACACCTAATCCACTCCAAGTCAATGGTGCTCTTAATGGCAGCTGTGATATGCTGCAACATGAATTGCCTGCCATCATGGATTATATTAGAGTTACAGCATACCAACAGTCTCCACACCAATGTCTCACAAATATATTGTGACATGTTGCGCAACGGAGAACCCCTCCCTACCCAGCAGCAACGTGGCAACTCAGGCCACAGTGACGTGGCTGATAAGTCAGCGCTCCCTTCCCCCCCTCCGCACAGTAACGTAACGCCCAACGCGTGGTGACGTAAGACGGCGTGAGGTAACATCTTTGCTACGTAACAGGCCCACACAGCCCCTATATAAGAGAGCTGCGCTGCCTGCGGAGTTAGTGGTAATGTGGCCATCGCCGAAGACAGTTCCGAGTTCGTTCCGAGCAAGACTATGAGCAGTGTGTGATCAACAGTTCTCAAGGTAGCAGCCTGCGAGTCGAGTTGGAATATAGCAGCCGTCGCGGAAAGAAGAACCGGGCGTGTGTGTAACTGTGTAATTTGGAGTGTGTGAGACAGAGAGACTTGTATAGCTCCCGTACTGTGAATACGTGTAGCCTACTGAAGATAGAGTGAACTGATTTGCGCATAGGGTTATAAATCATGAAACCCTGCAACAGTGTAAACAGATTATTACGATTAGGGTTATAAAGTGTGAAACCCCGCAACTGTGTTATAATTAATTGTAGCCGTGATTTGTAGTTTGTTAAATAAACCAGTTAACAATCCGAATGGCATCTTCAGTAACGAAACACATTACAACTGGTGTCAGAAGTGGGATTTGGACTTACACACGTGACCAACGAGATTCGAACTCAAGACACGTTACATTTTGGTAATAAAATGGAGATGCAGCAGATGTTGGAACTCCTGCGGAAGGAATTGCGGGCCCAGAGAGAAGCTGCCGATAAAAAGGGCTGACGACAAGTGGAAAGCCTGGCGAGAAAAGATGGCCGCCATGCGAGAAGAGCTGGTCGCAGAAACGGAAGCCACCAGGGCAGAAACAAGAGCTATCCAAGCAAGGATGGAAGCCATGCGAGAAATAATGGGCACCAGCAACATGGAGATGGTGTACGCATTTAAACTCGAAGGAGACGTAAAGACGATAGCCTGCCAAGAGATGGAGGCACGTCCAGAAGAAGAAGAGCCGGCCTCAGCGAACAGGAAACCTGAGGCGGCTGAACTACGAGAGGTACATGTACAAGACGCTGAAGTAATGCCGGTCGGAGAAATGNTGCAAGAGTGGCATGGCGCAAGAGGAACATCTTCAGGAAATCTTGGACCCGAGGAGATCATGCGTCCCAAATAAAGTTGGCTGCCATCTGCAGGAAGACATCCCGTCGCGCAACAGTGGCACGACATTGGAGAAACGCCTTCAAGAAGGAAATTCCCCTGGGAACCTTCGAATGCCAGCAGAAAGAAGGACTGCCAGCCGAACAGGGACGGCAGAAGAATTGGACCAGAAACCATTCTACGAGAGGAACCCAGAAAGGATGGACTCCCAGATGGAAACAACTGGTGCGCCTGGAAGGCACCAAGGAAACCAAGAATCGAGACTTCGAGGACCAGCTACGACTTGGAAGCAAGTGGGAATTTAACAAGACCCACAGGAGGACAAAGGGATTGGAAATCGCAAAGCGAATTTTCACACCTGTCCCATTACAGAGAAGTAAAATCTGGACATTGTGGAGGGGTCGACCCCCTCAGAAACGAAAAAAGACGCAGGGCACAGAAGAGGAGCCGGTAAAATAGAAGAACCGGCCTCCCCAGAGAGAGTGAATGTGCCATAGAATGAAAGTGATGGATGAATGGGATACAACTGGATCTTCTGGCGAGCTGAAAGGAAACCGCACGAGATGAGTTGGTCTTAAGAAGGGAGCAGTTGTAACGGCCAGAGAACAGATGCTGCAAGAACAGCCTCCAAAGCAAAGGAACGGGAATGCACCGTTAGGCTATTCGGGACGAACAGCCTTAAGGAGGGAGCAGTGTGACATGTTGTGCAACGGAGAAGCCCTCCCTACCCAGCAGCAATGTGGCAACTCAGGCCACAGTGACGTGGCGGATGAGTCAGTGCTCCCTTCCCCCCCTCCGCACGGTAACGTAACGCGCAACACGCGGTGATGTAAGACGGCGTGAGGTAACATCTTTGCTACATAACAGGCCCAGACAGCCCCTATATAAGAGAGCTGCGCTGCCTGCGGAGTTAGTTGTAATGTGGCCATCGCCGAAGACAGTTCCGAGTTAGTTCCGAGCAAGACTACAAGCAGTGTGTGATCAACAGTTCTCAAGGTAGCAGCCTGTGAGTCGAGTTGGAATATAGCAGCCATCGTGGAAAGAAGAACCGGGCGTGTGTGTAACTGTGTAATTGGGAGTGTGTGAGACAGAGAGACTTGTATAGCTCCCGTACTGTGAATACGTATGGCCTACTGAAGATAGAGTGAACTGATTTACGCACAGGGTTATAAATCGTGAAACCCCGCAACAGTGTAAACAGATTATTGCGATTAGGGTTATAAAGTGTGAAACCCCGCAACTGTGATATAATTAACTGTAGCCGTGATTTGTAGGTTGTTAAATAAACCAGTTAACAATC